ATTAGTGTGTGGATTCCTTGTCATCATGCCATTTACCTGGCACTTCATACGGACTCCATACAGTGACAACCATCACTAGTCTATGTTTATTGTTTTGATGATGCTTCTTGTCAACTCGGCTGTTTAATGTAAGATGAAGGTGTGAAGAAGGATGGAGTGGAACATGTCAGGGCAGAGACAGGTGGAGAAGAGAGCAGAGGAAAGCAGAGCTGGGAAGAATAAAAAGAGAGCTTCTGTCAACCCTTTCATCCAGACTCAGGGAGAAGCCTGCCCAGTGACAGACACCTCTCCGCGAAATTACATTAGGAGAGGTATTTCCTGGAGGGGATGAGGGACATACTTGGTGGTTTCCCTTTTAACTCTAAAAGAGAAGGCAATGGAGTCAGTCCGTGGCTACCAAAATGCCACACAGCTTTAAGCCCCAGACTTTGATTCCCACAGATCACCACCACTGGCAACTGAGTAAAAGCAAAGTAAAAATACTTTGACACTCAGAGTATTCTGCAAAACTTCACATTTCTTTCCTGAATGCTTGGAGCCGCAGAGAAAATGACTCTCACTTGACATATTAAAAATACCATCCAGTTTTAATCGGCATTTAGTGTTTTCAGGATGCCAGGCTGTATACCAGTCATTTGGAATACAAAAGGTCAAATAGAATTCCTGTCTGTCATCAGTATGAATATCAGAAAGAATACGTGGGTCAGGATAAAAATTGGAGGTTCAGAGAGATGGTTCAGTGGTTAAAGGTGCTTGCTACCAAATTTGACAAGGTAAGTTTGATACCCAGGATCTTCATGATGAAATGAGAATCCTGAAAGTTGTCCTCTGACCTACACACACACACACACAATATATATATATATAATTTAATTATTGGAATACATTTTAATGTACAATGGATAATCACAGAGCATGATGGAAGAGCAGGCGAAGAATGCTTTCAATACTACTTGCTTCCTGCGTCTCAAGGGCTCAATGTAGCCCACAGATGTGGCATGTGTTGTTATTGCTTGGTTTCTTTGAAGCAGCTGCCAACCTTAAAAGTTGTGTTCAGTCTCACCCAGAGGCAAACAACTGAAGTTGAGTGATAGATGCTCCTTTTAAATAAGACATACCTGGGTCCGGGGAGATGGCTCAATAGTTAAGGACACATGGCTGCTCCTGCAGGGGACCAGAGTTAGATTCCCAGCATCCATGTCAGGTGGCTCGCAACTGCCTGTAACTCCAGCTCAAGGGGGAGCTGATGTCCTCTACGGTCCCCAAGGGCACCTGCACACCCATGGCATTCATTTTCATACACACACACATGCACGCACATACACACACAAAAAAAATAGATAGATGATAGATAGA